GTGTAATAACTTGATTACTTTTGTGATCTGGACACTGTAGACTTCATCTTCCTTGGATTTTGTCAGTGTACTGCTGAAAACGGGTGACTCATTCAAAAGGGGGTTAGGGATGGATAGTAAACACTTTGTTCAGCTCACAAGTGCATTGTCCTCTTGTTCTCGTCCCATAGAGAGCAGTTAGAATTGGGAAGTTAGTACCATAAAGTGAGTTAGATAACTGTCTGAAGAAGTGGAAAAGTAATTATTTGGGATTCCATGAAATCCCTTTCCTTATTCATCAATATGAAACAGGTAGGTTTCAACCTTGTGCATCCGTATTTCAGGCTAGAGTCAGGGGTTTGGGGAAATGAAAATAAAAATCAATATTTGTTGATTCAATATTGAAAGAAGTCAGTTTCAGTGGACTCCCCACTCACATGTCTGAGTGGGTCACCTTGTCAATAGATGTTAATATTCTTGATTGCTTAAGCAGTTGTATGGCTAAAAAGAATTTTCTTTGCTACTTCCCACTTATTCTTTTATTTTCCCTTTCTCTAGGCATGTCATGTTTTACAGTACCTGCTTTCATAAAATTCAAGGTCAGTAAATCTTGCTATGTACTGCAGTCTCCTGAGAAGGGAATGTTTTATTTGCCATAATAATGCAAAATAACACACTTGGACAACTGAGACTTCAGTCCATTTCTGTACAGAGGCTTTCCTACGCAAGGGCCTTGTTGAAGACTTGAAGGAGTTTTAGGATTTTTTCTGAAGTGAAGCACTATCACTTTTCATGTTTCGTTCTTTTATTTAGACTATGTCATCACTGGGCATTGCCATTTATAGCGTTAAGCAGAAAGGTGTTGCAGGTGCTACCAAGCCTGCCTAAGTTGTGTTTTCTCACTGTAGGTCATAAAATGAAATCTGACTGAGGTGGATGTTACCTTCCAACCCTTCACCCTGGTTTTCATTCAATACCTTGAGAAGTGCTGTTACAACAATGATCCCCAGGCTACCACTGGTCTGCAGTAGTCAATGAAGATCTGTGAGCTAATGTAAATAATGCATCTACTCAACAAGCTTTTAGTTTGCTGAAGTGCAATGTCACTTGTATGTTATACAATACATTTTGCAGAAATTGTGTTAGGTTTGTTAGAAGTTCAGTCTGATTGTGAAGCTTTCATGTAAGGCATTAGGAACCAATTAATTATCAAATGCTTAATATTTATGCAAATAATAGAGCATATCTAGTTCCAGCATCTCACAGGTCACCAAAGGCCAGGTATGGACTACCTGGTCTAGAAATAACTGTTGGTAATACGAAAGAATGGTGACAATTCAGTCACAGTCTTTTGTGAAGTCATTAGCACTGTTAGCTGCTTGACTTCTTTTTTTGGTATATCTTCCTGAACAATTTGCTTGTATTAGTAGTGCCTCTTTTCCACTTTAGGCATCTCGAATATATCTTTAGTACTAAGCTGCTTAAGCAGTTTCCTTTTTTTCCTATATTAAGAAAGATGCTATCTTGCCTTAGTTATGTTCTCTTACCTGCTCTGTTCTGCTCCTCACTAATCAGTTACTTTTGGAAAGCATTATAGTAGTTGCATAACCCTTGACACTGATTATTGTGGAGATATGACAGTTCTCTTTCCACAGATAACTCAGGAGCCACTCTAGTTTCTGCAGCATCACAAGCTGAGGGATTCTATTGGGTTGCACACAGTTGCCATTGGGCTTGTTCATTCAGCCTTATTTAAACTGTCTCCAAAGACCAAACAGACTCTTGTCATCTTGGTTGACACGTTGAAGACTGTAAGCTTCCAGCAGCTAAAGATTTTTGTATGGCTGAATACATCTTATTTAACTTATTTTCTTGGAAGCCCTATAATGCTGGGATGCTTGTCCCCAAAGACTTGAGGTTAGTTCTCCATGATCTCTTAAGACTTTAAATCTACTGTCAGTATATGCTTCTGACAAGAAATTGTTTTTGTAGGCAAATGCTTAAGGTTTTTTGAGGTATTTTTCAGGTTTGTTTCCTCCACATTACCCAAGCTACTACTGATCCTCATCTTTCTCACTTCAATACTTTTTTGTGTTAAAGCCACACAAGTATTACATTGCTGTTGTGTATGTTCAGGTCTCTGTTCAACCAGTAAATTCTGCAGACACAGTCCTTTGAATCAGATCCATTCATAGAGTGTATCTTTAGCTTTGGAAGGAAGCTCTGAGAATGCACCTTCCCCTCTGTTTATCCAGCTAATAATAAGCTGCTGGGATACTTGAACAGCTTCATGGCTGGCATCCAGCTCTTCACCCAGGAAAGGGTTTTACCTTAGCTTTCACTGGAGAGAATTCAGATTTGGAATAAATGTAATGCTGTACCTGAACACTTGTAGTTCAATCTGGATGGAAACTGGCTTTCCCTTTTTCCTGTGGCTAATTCATGACTGAAAAGGTTAAAATGGATCTTAGGGGGTTCTTGGCTCCATTGCTTTACGAATGTTCAATCTCCTCAAATGTGGCAATAGCAAAACCCTTTTCTGTTCAGGTGGTAAAATGGAGGTGATGAAAAGCTGCCAGTGTGCTTACCTCCCACACTCTATTGCAACTACGTGCTCATTTCCATGTATATTCTACAAATATTGTAACCTGTTAACTTTTGACAACTACATGCATAAAAGTACGTAAATGACCTCTAGTTTAAACCAGACTAGTGACAGTAGTGCTAAAACAATATTAAGCTAACAGTGGGATTGAGTTAACATCTACCTCTGGCAGTGAAGTAATACTACAACGACAAAATACAGAGTATTCAAAATTCTGAACATAATATACTAGTTAAATGATGACAGCTTCATTTGAAAAACTACTTCCAAAAGGGAATTGAGAACACTGATTTCTTACTGGGGCTCTTGCAACAGATTCAGGAGAACTGAAACTCCAGTCTTTTAGGTTATCTCCTCATGTGGCAGTCAGTCATCTTAATGACATACTACAGCCATCTCAAACAAGATGGTGAATGTAATAGGAGTGCATCACCTGGTGAAAAGGGGTGAGAACAGAAAGCCATTTAGGTCAGAAGATACCTTTCCTGACTTGGAGGCCTCTTTTGCCTAACCTGAAATGCAATCTGCTTTGCAATACAACCTTCGTGACCTTCCCTAAACATCTTGGTCTGGAACAAGTATCTGTTGCCAGAGTAGGATTCTTCTCCTACTCTTAACACCTCAGTCCTTCGTCTCAAGTTCCAGGCATGCTGTTGTTGTGTGCTGTGCACCCAGCTACCCAATGGCTTCTCTGTGGCCTAAGGGTTATCACAGGTTAGTTGATTTGATCTTCCTAAAAGAGAGTGAGTGACAGCCAGTTTTGCTCAGTGCAGTTTGATAGTCTGCTCGTGCCAACTACAACATGTCTGACTCCTGCCTCATCAATTCCTTTCTTGTTCTCCAACTTCCAAAAGAAATAAATATCTTTGTAACGAGCAACAATAAAGAAGCAGGAGTTGGGAGTGCAGGTAGGAGGGGGAACTGGATACTAAATTAAAAACAAGAAAGCAGGCTTTTTGTCATCATTTAAGTTCTAACCATGTGGGATGAACTAAAAATGATCCAATTAAGACAAATAGAGTTTCACTAGTACTTTTTCTTAGTTTCCTTTCCATGATCTGGTGAGAATATTTGCTGTGGGGTTTTAATATATCATTACATGACAGAATGGCTATGAATGGATGAATAGGACTAAAGATTACAGATAACACAGTGTGGGAGTGAAATAATGCCATCCAGTAAAATAAATCTCAAACCTAGTGGTGAAAGAGTTGTTTTGGTGTTTCTTGGACTGTGTACATCTTTGTGGAATGAAGAAAGTGGCCTTATTTAAACCAAACAGGGTTTTTTTTCCATGAGAGATGAAAACAGAGTAAGAATGGCCAGTTCTTTCCTTTTATGCTGTTAGTAACGAAACTTGTTCATGACATGGTAACAAATTGGCAGCAACCAATAACTTTAAGAATTTGGAGGTGCTAAGAGTTTTAGCAGCTTGAACTGGAATAGCAAGAGTTGCCATACCCATAGCTGTAATGGTGATATTTGAAAAAAAAAATTCATCAAAATAGCAGCATTTCCTAAAAATTGCTATGGTAAAGGTATACCCATTTAAAATGTGAAAATGTGAAAATTTTAAAATGAAAGGTCACTTTAATTTCCACAAAAGGTTATCAGATGTCTGTTTCTGAGAAGAATATTGCTGTGGACTAAAACATGGCCTCACTCCCCCATAAAATGTATTCCAGGTTCAATAAACTGAAAATAGAGTGGTAGCTGACTCTAACTTTAGTGCTACTGAAATGTGATAGGTATGCAATCTACTATGTGGATGTTAATGTTTATAACCCCTATTTAAGAAATAAAAGTATCCTGTCAACTCCTATAGAAAAGCTACATTAGAAATATCAATGATGTAACCAAACCTAAAAAAGAATTTGAAGCAGCATTTGACTGTGGTAACATTTGCCTCATTTCTGCTGCTGCTTTCTGCCTTAACATTTGGATGATTATATTTTTGTGATACAGTAACCTAGATCTAGATTAATGTAAAAAAAAAATCTTATTTCATTGAACTATGTGAACTCTGAAAGTCCATCTGCAGTTTTTTGTGTCGTTGCCTTCATTTTCCCAGAGTAGTAAGGTTCCTGCTAAAAGGAATGAAGAGTTTCAAAAGAATTTAATTGCTGTGTAATAAGCCTTATCCTTTGGTGAGGTACTTCACTGAAGCTAGACAGTGAGTGTTTTGTGACAGCAGCAAAAGCTGAGGGGGATGGGAGGAGGAGGAAGCTACAAAATGACCACGGCTAGCCTCTCTGCATTCCTGTAAGGCTTGCTTGTTTTAAAATTGGAAGCTGCTATTATAGATGCTCCTCCAAACAGGTTTTTTTCCATACCGTCCCATTTAGCCTTTGGAATGCATGTACGAAAGGGCAGGCCCTCCAAGTGACTTCCCAATCTGTTTTTGTGATTCCAGCCAAGTTCCCTTTAATGTATGGAGCAGGCGAAGTTGAGCTGACTCTTATAATATCACAGAACTCGGGCGCAGCTGCTGCTTTAAGTGGCACTGTGTGATAATACAACAGCTCTGCTATTTACTGGGACTCAAGTGCCTGGACTGGCACACAGAGACGTTATATGAAATCCGAAAGCATGAGGATAAAGGAGATTTCTTTGCGGCAAGATCCTGATCTAAGGAAGGAGTTGGCATTGCTAGCTCGAGGATGTGATTTTGTGCTACCTTCTAGATTCAAGAAGAGACTGAAAGCTTTTCAGCAGGTCCAGGTTTGTCTTTCCATTCTTATACAATTAAGTTATTGTTGTCAGTTGTGCCTTCAAAGCCATGCAAACTGCAGGAAATACATGGAGGTTCTTCCTAAACTAGCAGGATTTCAATAGTCTGTTCCATGTATGATGATTTCTTCTGTGTTTTAAAAGACTGTGCAAACAAAAAAGGAGAGGTTACTGAAGCACAGATAAAGTGCAGTGTTTGCACAGAGGCATATGCAGTGGAAAGTTGGTCCACTCAATGCTGTTAGACTTTTAAAGACTGTTTTCTTTAATTTGCATAATCATAACTTGCAGGTATTTTCCTGGGTTTTTAATTCACCTTTTACTGAAACTGGGCATATAAAATACACTGAAATTGGCTGTAACTCATAGTGCATTAAAAGATGCTTTCATACTTGCACCGTGATCCTGAATTCCTTTAGATTGTTTGTCCTGGACTTTGATTTTGGATGAGCTCAGTTTTTGCTACATGGTTCATACACATGCCTCTGGAGTTTTGCAGCAGTGAGTTAAATCCACCATTTTAAACTGAGCTCATAATTGAGAATAGAACCATTTAAAACCCATAAGTGGAAGGAGAACTACTTCAGAGTAAATGTTCAAAAACATGATCTTTTGGAAGGAGGGGAAGAATGTACAACTGCATTATTGAAGAAACTGAAATTGGGTATTTCCTTGAACACACTTAACTTTAAAGCTTTTGGTGGTATGTGAAAGCATTCACTTTGTCCTTACATCACCCTCGCTTTTAATTCATGTGCTACAAGTATACCAGTGATGGTATGTGTGACTTTTAATCCATTTTTAATTAAGGGAAGTTTAGCCATTGAATAAAAATTCTATTATCTTAGGTCTTCTGGCTTTTGAAATAATTTCTAAATATAGCTGGCTACTTAATTTTTAATTCAGTGCACTAGTGTCACTTTCAGGTGACCTTCAAGAGAGGGCCATAGACCACTATGACCCTAAAAAATGTGTTAGCCTTCTGTCTTCTACATTATTTCAAATTTGTTTCAGCTAAGCTATATAAGCAATGTTTATTCCCTTGTGCAAAGTACAATGCAAGTGCTGAGCCTGCTGGTTTATGCCTTTCATTCGCAAGTGTACGTTGAGTGGATTTTATGACTTGTACCTTTTCTGCAGAACTGAAGACATAAGAAAACTTTTTGTCTAGAGACAGCAGGAAAAGAAAGTACTATCTTAATTACCCAAAAGATCAGTTAATATTTAGGCACCTCAGAGCATGATGCAAATTTAGTCTAGTCATGGCATGCTGTTGTAAACAAACACACTATTACCTTGTGTGGTGCCCCTTAACTTGATCTGGCTTTCATCGAATGGTAGTTGGCTCGCTTGTACTCTTCCAGGGCTTTCTTATGTTGAGCTAGAAAACATCTTGACATAGTGTGGTACCTCATACCTACAAGCAACTAAGTACTTTAGAAAACAGCTTGTCTAATCTCTAGGTTTTCTTCTGGTTTAGCATGCTGCTGACTGTCAACTTAACATGCAGACAATGAACAAATATTTCTCATTCTTAACCGGCCTTCACTTCTTGAGTGCACGGCAGCTGTAGGATAAAGTATGCTAAACCACATAATTAGTACAGACTAAATTCTTTAGAGAAATGGACTTAATAGAAGTATAAAATCTGATGTCTGTCTTTGCTCAGTTTGATATAAAGTATTTTACCTGATATTCCTTCTTTAAAATGGCACTTCATGTTTTTAAGGAGAACTTTCTGAAAGTACCTTAAAAAAAAAAAAAAAAAAAAAAAAAAACCGCCTAAAAACTATTGAAAAACCTACCTGGCACTTCATGTTAATTTCAACATTTTTCTCATTTCAATTGCTAAGCTTCATTGTCACTGGAGTTTACAACCTCTTGTAACACTGCAACAGTGGCTTTCAGACAGAACAGTTCATTAATATGATGTAAAATTAGAATGCTAAAATGAAGCATATATGCAGGCAGTCTGGTTTTCTATAGTTCTACTACGCTCTTACAATTTTTCATATAACTTATAGCAAATTCTCCTTAACAGGTTCAGTGCTAGTAAAGCTATTAAAGCTAGACACTTAAATTTAAAAAATGAGATAACGTGGCTCAGCACCTGCTCTGAGGTGAGATGGAGTGACTGGGTCTTCCACAGGTTCTAGGAAACTCTTAAGGTAGTGGCTTTCTGCACAGAGCCATGTAAGTAATCTGTGTAGGTAATCCCCTGTGCTTTGGAAGGGGCAGCCTCTGGCATGTAACAAATCAAGTTTCATGAAAAAGCTTTAAATAGCCAGCCAGTAGTGAGGTGGTTGAGACTGGTAGAACAGGCTGTTTCTCAGTGGTTGCATTTTCTAATGAAAATTGATAAAACAGAGCAAGATAGGGCTTTCTAGAAAGATCAGTTTATCTAAAGGAAGATAAAACACTGCACAACTGCTGAAATGTTTTTTGGTACTTTGAGGAACTGAGGTTTTTTTTATAGCTAACTGCATAAAACACTGTAGAACTTTAGTCTGTCTACTGACGTTGGTTGTAAGAAAGAGCTTTCTTAGATAATTTAACACCCACAGAATATAGTGCACTGGAGATGCAGCACTTGAAAAGGCACTGTGTCCATCTTGCTCATCAATTTCTCTGAAACTTTGGAGGGAGAAACTATCACCATGTCAAATGTACTGGCAACTTAATGATGTGAACTGAAAGGCTTATCACCTGCTGATAGCTGAGCAGAGTGTTTTAGCCAACAACTGGTGACGTCCCTACCTGTCAGAGCATCATTACCCAGGCTACGCGAGGAAAATATGCCTGAAGTTCAAGACAAAATAACTGAATACATCTGTGTACCGTGACGATGCTTATACCCATCAGTGTTAGCTAAACTAGGAAAACGGGTGGGTTTTGCTGCTTAGAGGCCACGCTATGTTGTAAAACAGTTGAGTTCTGACTGTCAAATTAGACTTTCTTAAAGTCAAATTTGTGCTGAATGTGATCAATTTTTTTTTTTAAAAAAAGAAAAAAAAAAAAAAAAAAAAAAAGCTGGCCTAAATCTTTAATTCATCCTCTGGATGTCAGCACCCAAACTAAGTGCTGGTGTATTTTCTGATACTCGAGCTGCCTCATGCCTTTATCTGCTGTTACTACTTGGTGATTCCTGTGGTTGCATGCGTCACACCTCAGTGTGAAATGGAGAACTACCAGTTCCACGGCCACCTGTTAATGATACTAAATGCTGCTTACGTGTGCTATTTATGTCAGCTGTATGAGAAGTATTTCTTCAACTTCTGCAGCACCTCACAAGATTGGCTTGCCATGTGAAGTAGGTTTAGACACTAGTGCCCCTTCATCACTTCTGCACTCCTACTACTGAAATGCTTCCTAAATGCTTGTCGGACGTTCAAGACAGCAACAAATACAAAGGCTGTAGGTGCTAATGTGTGCAGGGCTGGTGTGTGGTTGTGGTGTAGTGCAGAGACTCTTCTAGTCATTGAGATAACCTTCCCAACTGTGAGGTAAAATTAACTTTAAAAAGCTTAAGTGAGGCAATTGCTTTTACGACTGTACTCACGGAAGTAAGTTGTGTAACAGAGGTCTCTGGCAGGCCAGTATTCCTATTAGGACCAATTTTCTATTTTAATGTTACTTGGAGACCTTTTAACACCACAGAGGAAGAACCTCATATTCATTTTTACATAATAGTTTTACATGAGGCACACAAACTTTTTTTTAAAGAACAAAACCCAAATGTTTGCTGGGAGAGAGGTAGGGGGGCATGGAATGGAAATCTAATTCCAGCTGTAGCTAATCGTTATGTTTGATGCTAGTTTGCTGATACAATGCAAATTTTTCTGAAGCAGATGCTAATATTTAAGATGGAAAGAAAATATCTTGGCTACCTGCTAAGAATGGCTGGTTAAGATAAGAGGTTTTCCTTAAATGGTCCTTTTCTAATTGATTGCCAGTTTTTAAGCTCTAGCCTCTTAAAGGAAGCTGTAAGCAAACTGATTTTTTTTCTTCTTCTTTTTTTTACCCCTTCAGCAATGGAGACTCCTGGTTTGAGCTTAAAACATATTGGCTGCCCTGTGGTAGCAGCTTCTTTAACTGCTTGTGGCTGGTTTATTTTATTTTTTTTTATTTTATTAATTTATGCAAATCTTGCTGTTTCTGTACAGAAGCCAATATGGTGCAAGTTTGTTACAGCTTATGTCACTTGCATGCACGATTTAAGAGTCTAGTTGTCAAGTCCCTCTGCAGCTAAATTTTTTGACCCAACAATTCAGACATTGAAGAGTTCTCATAGATTTATTTTTCCTTGGAATGAAAGTTTCACTAGCCTTTTCTCCATTTTTAACATGCTTCCCCTACCTTTATAATCACTAACGCTTCTAATAGCAGATGTTCTGTATCTGACAGTAGTACTTTGTATGCTAGAAAGCCTGAAATGGTTTGACACATGTTCACCGAAAATATCCTTCAACTTTTGCAGGATCAGAGAGATATGAGATGGTTTTTGCCATTGTCCAAATCGGAATTTGTTGGGCTGTTGCCAGACAAGAAGTTATCAGAATGCTTGCTCCAACTATTGGCTCTGCAGCTCAGTAACAAGGCTGAGCTTGTTGATATTTTCCTTGTTTGAGTGGATTTTTCCTAAGCTCAATCGTGTTGAGTGATTGACACTTGTTTTGTTGTAAAGGTGGAAGGATGAGAAGCTATTGCAGAGTTTAAGAATTAAGTGGATGTCTGTCTTAGCCCTGTTTGTTACTTTTGATGTTGAACTGATGGCCTGTCCTGACAAGGGCTGTTTTCCATAGACAAATGTTAGAATTGCCTCAGGTGTAGCTGACTGTCAGTTTTTCCCCATTAAAATGATGTTTAGGCAGTCATAACTCCTTTGCAGGGTATGTGTGTCCTTTGCAGTCGTTGTTCCACATGACTCCTTTGCAGCCCCAGTGAGGCCCATTGTCTGCGTACACAATCAAAACAATTGTGTACTAGGAGGA